AGAGAGTCAGACTGAGGAGGAATTGGCTCTAACAGTGTCTCCACCACTGTGTGATACTGGTCAGAACTTAGTGCCTCCATCATCCTTAGCAAACTAGCACAGGAACAGAATACCAAATACCACATATTCTCACTTGTAAGTGGAAGCTAAATGATGAGAACACATGGTCACAGAGAGGGGAACAACAGATACTGGGGCCTATTAGAGAGTGGAGAATGGAAGGAGGGAGAGAATGAGGGAGAATAATAAGTACTAGACAATACCTGGGTGACTAAATAATCTGTACAACAAACCCCCGTGACATGAATTTACCTACATAACAAACCTGCACATGTAGTCATGAACTTAAAAGTTAAAAAAAAAAGTGGCCCCGGGCACGGTGGCTCACATCTGTAGTCCCAGCACTTTGGGAGGCCGAGGTGGGTGGATCACTTGACCCCAGGATTCAAGACCTGCCTGGGCAACATGGCAAAACCCTGTGTCTACTAAAAATACAAAAATTAACCAGGCATGGTGCCGTGCGCTGGTAATCCCAGCTACTCGGGAGAATCGCTTGAACCTGGGAGACAGAGGTTGCAGTGAACTGACATCGCACCACTGCACTCCAGCCTGGGTGACAGAGCAAAACTTGGTCTCAAAAACAAAACCCCAAAGTATAATAATACCGTTGAGCTCAAGTTTATGACATTGCTGTCTTTTTTTTTTCTTTTTTTGAGACGGAGTCTCGCTCTGTCACCAGGCTGGAGTGCAGTGGCGCGATCTTGGCTCATTGCAACATCCGTCTCCAGGATTCAAGCGATTCCCCTGCCTCAGCCTCCCAAGTAGCTAAGATTACTGGTGCACACCACCATGCCTAGCTAATTTTTGTATTTTTGCTAGAGAAAGGGTTTCACCGTGTTGGCCAGGATGGTCTCGATCTTTTGACTTCATGATCCACCCGCCTTGACTTCCCAAAGTGCTGGGATTACAGGTGTAAGCCACTGTGCCTGGCTACATTGCTGTCTTTTATTACACCTTTTTTTTTTTTTTTTTTTTTTTTTTTTTTTTTTTTGAGATGGAGTTTCGCTCTTGTTACCCAGGCTGGAGTGCAATGGCGCGATCTCGGCTCACCGCAACCTCCGTCTCCTGGGTTCAGGCAATTCTCCTGCCTCAGCCTCCTGAGTAGCTGGGATTACAGGCACGCGCCACCATGCCCAGCTAATTTTTTGTAGTTTTAGTAGAGACGGGGTTTCACCGCTTTGACCAGGATGGTCTCGATCTCTTGACCTCGTGATCCACCCACCTCGGCCTCCCAAAGTGCTGGGATTACATACACCTTTTTATATTAAAAATAATAATGAATAAAAATGTCATAAATAGTAATTGTGTAAATATAAAAGGCCTTATTAAAAAAACAAATCTTAGTGCCTCAATTTTCTCTTCTGTAAAGAGGGGACACGAAATTACGTAAGATATAGGGTCCTGGGCATTTAAATGAGAGAATGTACGTGAAATATTTAGCCCAGTGGAGGGCTAGGCACATGGGGAGAGACCAAAGACACTAAAGTCTATTATTTTCCTAGAATCAAAACCAAAACTTATTAGAAGGCTCTCTTTATCCAATTCTGTCCTCAAAATTGGACTCTAAATCTTTAGTTCACTTGAAACATTCGCTAAATTATTAACACTGCTTTGAAATTCTCTGTTCTCTCTATCCTGTGACTTCTGACATGAGGTCATGACATGATGTCATAATTCACCTCCTGCTCTGACTTCGTGAGAATTTCCCAAGTTGGTTGGTGCATGGGGTCCCTCACTTTTTCCATCTAAGAGGTCTCTGGTCTCCCCTCTCTGAGCACTGTGAGGTAGGGTTGTTGTGCATTTGCTCTTGGTGTTATTCCTTTTGCTAAACATGAACAATGATATTAATGAATGGCTTTGGAGATTCTTCTTCCTTCCTTTGCATTTTTCAGAGATATGTTTCTGGTTTTGGTATCTATTAGAAAGGTATTTAGGTTTCTGTCCTGTGACAATCAGGATTTATAGTACAGAAAACTAGAAATGATTATTTGTATTTCAAGGCTCTCTCTGTGGCAGCCAGGTAAGCCCTTGGGTGCCCTGATTTACTCACTTGGTTTTTTTCTCTCTACTAGGTATAAGACCAACTACATAATTTACAAAACCCAGGGCAAAATAAAAATGCAGCCCAGCTTCTCATTCAAAAATTATCAAGAATTTCAAGAGGATGAAAGCATAGCATCAAATCAAGAGCAGGGCACTTCTTTTTTATTTTATTTTTTAGTTTTTCCATAAGTTATGCGGGTACAGGTGGTATTTGGTTACATAAGCTCTTTAGTGGTGATGTATGAGATTTTGGTGTACCCATCACTGGAGTAGTATACCTATTTGGAGTCTTTTATCCCTCATTCCCCTCCCACGCTTACCCCATAAGTCCCCGAAGTCCATTGTATCATTTTAAGAGCAAGGCACCTCTAAATCTGGGGCCCTTCTAAGTGCAGGGCTCTATGTGACTGCATGGGTTGCTGGCCCATGAATCTAATCCTGCCTATGAGGCAATGGTGGTAAGAGCTTTAGAATGTTGTAGGCTTAGGTTAGAGTCCTAGCTCTGCAAGCTACTCTTTTGGAGGAAGAAATATAAGAAAAAGTGGGTGCAGGAGCTTATCAGATTGTGAGGGGCATATTAGTTTGATGGATCCCAGGAGCAGGAGCCAACATTTTATTCCACTTTAAGTGCTGAGAATAGTGCTTTGTACCTAAAAAAATGTTTAATTAAGACATAATTCACATGCAATAAAATTAACTCTTCAGAAGTATATCCAGCGGTTCTAGTACATTCACAAAACTATACAACTATTACTACTCTCTAATTCCACAATATTTTCATCACCCAAAGAAACTCTATTTCTATTAGCAGTCCCTTCCCATTCCCTCCTGCCTCAGCTACTGGCAACCACAAAACTACTTTTTGTCTCTATGGGATTTGCCTATTCTGGACATTTCATATAAATGAGAAACAATATGTGGCTTTTAGTGTTTGACTTCTTTTTTTTTTTTTGAGACAGGGTCTTGCTCTGTTACCCAGGCTGGAATGCAGTGACTCACTGCAACCTCCATCTCCTGGTTCAAACGATTCTCCTGCCTCAGCCTCCTGAGTACCTGGAACCACAGGCGTGTACTACCACACCCAGCTAATTTTTGTATTTTTAGAAGGGACAGGGTTTCACTGTGTTGACCAGGCTGGTCTTGAACTCCTGACCTCAAGTGATCCACCTGCCTCAGTCTCCCAGAGTGCTAGGATTACAGGCATGAGCCACCACACCCAGCCATGTTTGACTTCTTTCACTTGGCATAATGTTTTCAAGGTTCATCCATGTTGTAGCATGTATTAGTGCTTTATTCCTTTTTTTTTTTTTTTTTTTTGAGACAAGGTCTCACTCTGTCACCCAGGCTGGAGTGCAGTGGCACAATCTCAGCTCACTTCATTCCTTTTTATAGCTGAACAATATTCCATTGTATGAATATAACATTTTCTTAATTCATCTATTGATGGACATTTGGGTCATTTCCATTTTTTTGGCTATTGTGAATACTGTTACTATGAACATTTGTCTACAAGTTTTTGTGCAAACACATGTTTCCAAGAGTAGAATTGCTGAGTCTTATTGTAACTGTGTTTAACTTTTTCAGAATCTCCCAAATTGTTTTCCAAAATGGTGGCACCATTTTACAGTACCATCAGTGGCATATGAAGGTTCCAATTTCTCCCCATCCTCACCAATACTTGCTATTATCTGTCTTTTAAAAATAGCCATCTTAGTGGGTGTAAAGTGGTTTCTCATGGTGGTTCTGGTTTGCATGTTCCCAATGACTAATGATGCCAGGCATCTTCTTATGTGCTTACTGATCATTTGCATATCTTCTCTGGAGAATAATCTATTTGGATCCTTTTGCCTATTTTAAAATAGGATTATTTGTCTTTTTGTTATTGAGTTGCAGGAGTTATTTATATATTTTGGAAAACTAGACCTTTATCAGCTACATATGATTTGCAAATATTTTATTCTATCATGTGGGTTGTCTTTTCATTTTCTTGATAGTGTCCTTTTGTTACAGGAAAGAGATCCCAATCCAGACCCCAAGAGGGGATTCTTGGATCTCACACAAGAAAGAATTCAGGGGGAGTCCCTAGAGTGAAAGCAAGTTTATTAAGAAAGTAAAGGAATGAAAGAATGGCTACTTTATAGACAGAGCAGCCCTGAGGGCTGGGGGTTGCCCATTTGTACCGTTATTTCTTGATGATATGCTAAACAAGGGATGGATTATTCATGCCTCCTCTTTTTAGGCCATATAGGGTAACTTCCTGATGTTGCCATGGCGTTTGTAAATAGTCATGGCGCTGGTGGGAGTGTAGCAGTAAGGATGAACAGAGGTCACTCTTGTGGCCATCTTGGTTGTGGTGGGTTTTGGCCAGCTTCTTTACTGAAGGCTGTTTTATCAGCAAGATCTTTATGACCTGTATCTTGTGCTGATCTCCTATCTCATCCTGTGACTTAGAATGCCTAACTATCTGGGAATGTAGCCCAGTAGGTTGCTCAGCCTTATTTTACCCAGCCCCTATTCAAGATGCACTTGTTCAGCCCCTACTCAAGATGAAGTTGCTCTGGTTCAAATACCTCTGACATTTTGAAGCACTAAAGTTTTTAGTTTTGGTGAAACCAATTTATGTATTTTTTTTCCCCTTATTGCTTGTGCCTTTGGTTTCATATCTAAGAAACTATTGCCTAATCCAAATTCACAAAGATTTACTCCTACATTTTCTTCTAAGATTTTACAATTTTAGTTCTTACATTTAGGTCGTTGATCCATATTTAGTTAATTTTTGCATATGGTGTGAGGTAGGATGCATATAATTATTGCTTAGCCTGATAATAATCATGTGATCCTTGGTAAGTTCTTGCACCTAAGTCTCAATTTTCTTATTTGTAAAGTGAGAATAACACATGGTGCCTAAATCATAAGGTTACAGTGAATATAGAGAGAACACTTACATAGAGCATTTATCACAATGCTTGAAGCATCCTAACTGCTCAATAAATGCTGTCGGGGTTACAATTGGAACATGAACCGTGAGTGCATGCTTCTACAGTGAATGCCAGAAAGACCAGCAGCATTTCTCAGAAGGTAAACGGGAGGAAGTACACTTGCTTAGTCCACTTAGACAAGCAGGTCTGGGATTGTTGTGAGAGTCTCTGCCCTAGGTAGACCACTGCCTCACGGTCACCTCTAGGGAGTGGTAAAAATTCGAATTCTCGGGCCCCATCGGTCCTACGGAAAAGAGCCTCCTCTGAGCACCGGGCCCGCAGTGGTGTCGGTGACAGTGGTCGCGCCTGCAGCGCCGCCTTTACCCTGCTGGAGGCGCCCGAGAGACTGGGGCGACCACGGCGGCTGCGCAGAGCCCTCCCTAAGCTGGCGGCCGCCGCAGCCAGATCCGCCCGGCTCAGCTGACAGCTACCGAGAACGGAAGAGGCGGCGCGCCGGTTCAGCCGGGCGTCTCTAGGCCTGGTCGGCTGGTGTCGGTGAGTGGGTCCCGGGCAAGGGCGGAGGGCGGAACTTTGGGGCTCGGCACTGCCGGACGGCCGGAAGGTACGGTGGGGACCGCTCTCTGGGCGCGCGAGGCAGAGAAGGGGGCCGGGCCGGGACTGTCCAGTGGGCCTCAGTCCCTCAAACGCGCACCCGGCGTCCGCAGCCTGCCTGGCCAGGACTCCCTTCGGGACGCTGAGCAGGAAAGGGAAGGTTTGGGCCCTGCTCCTTCCAGACGCCCCAGGCTGGTCAGCAGCTCACACGCCCGCGTAGCGCCCTTTGACCCCAGCGCTGGGGCTGATAGCTAGCCTTGGTGGGCCTGCCCGGGTTTGGGGGCAGTGGCCCAAACGACTCCGCACGCCGGGTGGCGAGCTGAACCCTAACCAGGGCACCCGAAGATCAGATGGATAGAATGAGAAGGCAATGAGAGTTAGCAACCTGAATTGAGGTACTGGATTCCAGGTGACAGCTTCACAAGCTGAAATTTCGTAGGGTAGGTCATGAGGAACTGTGGAAACCCTGCCTGGAGTACAGGTTCTTAGCCCTGGCTGCATATTGGCATCACCTGGAGGACTTGGAAAACCACTGAGGCCTGAATTAATTGTTCTGGGGTGTAGCCTGGGTATTGAGTTTTTAAAAAACAGCTCCTCAGAAGATTCTAATGTGCAGACAGATGGGGAACACTAACCTAAAATCATAAACTGCATAAATTAATCTCTCATACCATTTGCAAATGTTTTAACAGGAAGAAACAAAAAGCTTAATTCAATTAGCACCATATCTCTCACCTAGTAAAATTGTTTAAGATTAAATAAGATAATGTGACAAAAAGAGAAGATAATTTACATTTATTGAGCACCTACTATGTACTGTATTAGGCCCTAATACAGTACATAGTAGGTGCTCAATAAATGTAAATTGATTCTGAATCTTCCCCCCCCCCCCCGCCCGACTTTATTTTTTTTGAGACGGAGTCTTGCTCTGTCACCCAGGCTGGAGTGTAGAGGTGCGATCTTAGCTCACTGCAACCTCCTCCCCTGGGTTCAAGCGATTCTCCTGCCTCAGCCTCCCAAGTAGCTGGGATTACACGTGCCCACCAACTATGGACTATATTCCCTTTTCCCCTCACCCCAGTGAAGAAGCCTAGCTCTAAAGCATTTAGAATAAAATTTAAAAGTTTGTGTTTGTAAACTCTTGTTTAAGTATTTTTTTGATATCAAAATTAACCTTGAGTGTCACTGGCAGGATAAATTCATGAGCAAAAGAGAGGAAAAACTGGAGGGAGATGGCAAATGAAGGAATATAAGAAGCAGAAGAGAAGAAAAAACTAAACAAAAAAGAAACTTAAGAGGCTGTTTGTTATGGGGCGTGGTGTACTGTCCTCTCATATGAACTTGGTGTTCTTCCTTAGCTCCTCCTCATGTCTGAGGGCAGACAGATAAGAAGTCCTCAGTCACTGCTGGGGACATGCAAATACTCCTTTAATCATGTGGCTCAGATAGTCTACCCTAGGAGAGTAAAATGCACCTGTAGATTAGGATTGGCTATATGTTAGGATGTGTTTGACTTAATTGGTGATAATGGAAATTCAGAATTTTAATTTGGAGAGGGTCCTAACACCATCTTCTGTGTTTCTTTTCTGCAGATGGCAGGATTTTCATAGTATTTGTAATATGAGTTCAACATCCTGGCCTCTTATCCAGCTTCAGCAGTCTCAGCTCTACCAGCTAGAGAATAAATGGGATGTGCACAAAGTCCACTCTGAACTGAAATACAGACTTCGGTGTTAATATCCTTTTCTTCTGATTGTTATTAACAGGTACTAACTGACCTCAAGTAGAATATGTAAATGTGTCTTAGATAGGGATGCAGCTTAAGCAGAGCCATTAACTAACATCTCCTAGAAAAAAAAGTATTTTTTGAAAATGAAATCATTTTAAATTTCATAGTATGATCTTTTAGAATATAAAAATTCCTTACTTTTCAGGCCAGGCATGGTGACTCATGCCTGTAATCCCAGCACTTTGGGAGGCCAAGGTGGGTGGATCATCTGAGGCCAGGAGTTCGAGACCAGCCTGGCCAACATAGTGAAACCCCATCTCTACTAAAAATGCAAAAAATTAGTCAGATGTGGTGGCAGGCACCTGGAATCCCAGCTACCTGGGAGGCTGAGGCAGGAGAATCGTTTGAACCCAGGAGGCAGAGGTTGCAGTGAGCCAAGATTGCATCACTACACTCTAGCCTGGGCAACAACAACAACAACAAAATCCTAACTTTTCAATTTTGAACATTTTAATTAAAAGTATTTTAGTTGTGAGGGGAGGACATTTGCAAATGCAATTGTAGATCAATATTTTAATTGACAGAATGGTAGTATTTTTGTTTTATTGAAATTATTTTTGTAAATTCTCATTGCCTATTTTTTGCACATTTAAATTATCTGAAATTGTGTTGTATCTTTCAGCTGATGAAATTTTTAAAAACATTGATTCATACTTTATTTTGTTTTTTGAGAAAAGGTCTTGCTCTGCCACACAGGCTGAAATGTAGTGGTGCAAACACAGCTCACTGTAGCCTCAACATCCAAGGCTGAAGCAATCCTCCTGCTGCAGTCTCCTGAGTAGCTGGGACTACAGGCACATACCACCACACCTGGCTAATTTTTATAGAGATAGGATCTTGCTATGTTGCCAGTGCTAGTCTCAAACTGCTGGCCTCAATCAGTCCTCCTGCCTTGGCTTCCCAAAGTGATGGGATTACAGGCATGAATCATCACACCTAGCCAGTTCATACTTTTTTTTTTTTTTTTGAGACAGAATCTCATACTGTGGGCTGGGCACGGTGGCTCACACCTGTAACCCCAGCACTTTGGGAAGCTGAGGCAGGTGGATCACCAGGTCAAGAGATCCAGACCATCCTGGCCAACTTGGTGAAACACTGTCGCTAATAAAAATACAAAAATTAGCTAGGTGTGGTGGTGCGCCTGTAGTCCCAGCTACTTGGGAGGCTGAGGCAGGAGAATCATTTGAACCCGGGAGGTGGAGGTTGCAGTGAGCCGAGATTGTGCCACTATTGCCTGGGCTGGAGTGCAGTGGTATAATCTTGGCTCACTGCAACCTCTGCCTCCCAGGTTCAAGCTATTCTCCTGCCTCAGCCTCCCAAGTAGCTGGGATTACAGGTGCCTGCCACCATGCCTGGCTAATTTTTTTGTATTTTTCGTAGGGTTGGGGTCTCACTATTGTTGGCCAGGATGGTCTTGAACTCCTGACCTCGTGATCTGCCTGTCTCGGCCTCCCAACAGTTCATACTTTAATTGTAGCTAGTTTCTCTTTTCTTTTTTGAGACAGAATGTCTCTGTGTCACCAGGCTGGAGTGCAGTGGCACAAGCTCAGCTCACTGCAACCTCTGCTTCCTGGGTTTTAGCAATTCTCAATTCTTGTGCCTCAGCCACTGAGTAGCTGGGATTACAGGCATGTACCTCCTACCTTCATGCCCGGCTAAATTTTGTATTTTTGGTAGAGATGTTTTTTTTTTTTTTTTTGCCATGTTGACCAGGCTGGTCTTGAACTCCTGGCCTCAAGTGATCTGCCTGCCTTGGTCTCCCAAAGTTCTGGGATTAAAGGCTTGAGCCACTCACTGTGCCTGGCCCTTATAGCTAAATTCTTAGTATTATCTAAAATAATGGTAAATCTTTTTAAAAATTATTATCTTTTAAATATTCTTGAGTCATAATTGTAAATCTTAATATTGATGGCTGCTTGGATTTGACAAACTCTGTTTCAAAATTTTAATATTTTGCTGCTTGCTCAGTTATCTAATTTTCTTGTGTAGTATCTATGCCTGTAACATCCTCAAGCACAGTTTTCTCAACTGGGAGCAATTTTGCCTTTAACCCCCCATTCTGCCCCAGGACTTCTGGCTATATTTGGAGATATTTCCTTTTTTTTTTTTTTTTTTTTTAAGACAGGGTCTCTTTCACTTTGTCACCCAAGCTGGAGTGCGGTGGTACCATGGTTCACTGCAGCCTTGACCTCCCAGTCTCAAGCAGTCCCCCCATGTCAGCCCCCCAAGTAGCTGGGACCACAAGCAAGCACCACCACACCTGGCTAGATATTTTCAGTTGTCACAGCTCTTGTGGTTGGAAGCGGGGCACTATTGGGTATCTAGTGGATAAAAGCCAGGAAATGCTGTTAACATTCTATAGTGCACAACACTGTTCCCTAACAGCAATTATTTACTCCAAAATGTCAGTAGAGCTGAAGCTAAGAAAACCTGCCCTAAAGATTCCTGTGGATTTAAAAAATTCACTTCTTTTTTTTATTGGAAACAGAGTCTCACTTTTGCCCAGGCTGGAATGCGGTGGCACAGCCTCGGCTCACTGCAACCTCTGCCTTCCATGTTCAAGTGATTCTCCTGCTTCAACCTCCCGAGTAGCTAGGGGTGTGCCACCACACCCAGCTAATTTTTGTATTTTTAGTAGAGATGGGGTTTTACCATGTTGGCCAGGCTGGTCTTGAACTCCTGATCTCAGGTGATTTGCCTGCCTCAGCCTCCCAAAGTATTGAGATTACAGGTGTGAGCCACTGGGCTTGGCAAATTCACTTATTTTAAGAAAGGAGTGTAATATACTTTGACCCTTTTTGCAAGCCAGTCACTTTGCTAGGTTCAGTGGACAAGTCAAAGAAAATTTGTGATTTGTCCTTTTCAAAGAAAATTTTCAAATTATGCTTTTTTTCCTCTAATTCAGTCATAAAATACCTAACTGATAAAGTCAGGAATTAGAAGTACCACAACCATCCCTTTTGAAAAAGACTGTTACTATTACAAAGCTAATGGAATGCCGGATATGGCTGTCATTTTTGGTTTAGGAGAAAAGTGAGAATATCAATTAATTCTTTGCAGTTGTTTGTGCATTTTTAAAACTGCCATTAAACTTTTCCCACCTCTGTGCATTTTCTTTTTGAGACAGAGTTTCGCCCTTGTCACTCAGGCTGGAGTGCAGTGACACAATCTCGGCTCACTGCAACCTCCACCTCCTGGTTCAAGCAATTCTCCTGCCACAGCCTCCCAAGTAGCTGGGATTACAGGTGCCTGCCACCACGCCTGGCTAATTTTTGTATTTTTAGTAGAGACAGGGTTTCGCCATGTTGGCCAGGCTAGCCTCCAACTCCTGACCTCAGGTGATCCACCTGCCTCGGCCTCCCAAAGTCCTGGAATTACAGGCGTGAGCCCTCAGGCCCGGCCAGCCTCTGTGCTTCTTAACTGATTTTATGTTTTCAGTTCCTCAGAAAATTAAATGTCGTCAGAAGACCGAGAAGCTCAGGAGGATGAATTGCTGGCCCTGGCGAGTATTTATGATGGAGATGAATTTAGAAAAGCAGAGTCTGTCCAAGGTGGAGAAACCAGGATCTATTTGGATTTGCCACAGAATTTCAAGATATTTGTGAGCGGTTAGTTAATAATATTTTCTTAAACAGATTATTATTTATTTCTTAGTGTACCTTAAGCTATTTGTCATTTTTGTATTTATAGGCATCAGTGACAGGTGGTAGTATTACAGATTTAATGCATGTTTCTGTTTTAAATGAAAATTGCAATGAGGGGCAAGCAGTTTTCAATTTGATTCCACCTTTTTGATCACTGAAGAGGGATATTATCCTGTGTATTTCATACATCCTAGTCTGCTATCTAGCAGTTTATCAGCATGAGTCATTGGCTGTTAAACAGAGATAATCAAAGAGAAAATGAATTTATGTGAAAACACTTGGAAATTTTCAAGTACAGTGGTGGTTGTTAATACTATTTGGTTTCCACAATCATTTCAACTACTGTAAACATGTGACACATGTTGTTACTGTGTGACCTTTTGCTTCAAAAAAAACCAAAACTGCTTTTGATACAGATATTTAGAGAAGACCTTGATGCACACCTCAAATGTTTCTACTATAAAGGGATTAAGGAATGTAAGTGGGATAATTTAAATGAAACTTTGATTGTGAGACTGTTATGTGCTATATCATATCCTCAAACCTGAAATCATTGTGTTGGCACAAATTTTCCCAACTGTGATTCATGGTAGTTGGCACATGCTGGTCTAAGTAGGTCATGGCTGTTCAATAGAAATGAACACCCTTTCTCTAGATTGTCTTTAATCATCTACTGTAAACTAAACCAACAACAAAACATTGTGTGTTCCTTGGTCATTAGTGTTAGGAACTGTACCCAGAAGTGTATACAAGAATGAGTTGTAGTATCTTCATTATACATTTCATCGTGCTTAGATTTTTCAAGGGGTTACAATATTTTTTTAAGGTGGCGGTTACCAAGTTAAAGTTAGGAAATAGAAAGTGCTTTGGGAAGGGTTTTTATTCCCTCTTACTAAAGCATTAAGTCTTTCTTGAGCATTGCTCAACAGTAATGGACACTCAAGTATTGACCAACTGATCCTTTCTAATCTTTGTTTTTGGTTCAGGCAATTCAAATGAGTGTCTCCAGAATAGTGGCTTTGAATACACCATTTGCTTTCTGCCTCCACTTGTGCTGAACTTTGAACTGCCACCAGATTATCCATCCTCTTCCCCACCTTCATTCACACTTAGTGGCAAATGGCTGTCACCAACTCAGGTTAGACTTGAAACTTAATTTTTCCTATCCATTTTTAGAAACTTAAAAATTGTCTTTAATTGAAGACTACCTTAATGATCTTGAATTCAGTGCATGAAAAACAAATGGCTTTGGTTTTGTAATTTTTTCCCCTTGCCTTGATGAATCCTGATGATAAGAAATTGAAAATGCTTGGTGTTTTAAAAAGGAATGGCTGTAATTAAAGCAATCATGAATTGTAGTAGGAGTAATTTTTAATCAAGTATATTATTTCTTTTCTTGTCTTGCTATTTTTCTATTTAATCTGTATTATAATGGAGACTACGAGATCTTCCTCATTTTCTTAAATATTGATACTACTTTTTTTCTTAGGTTCTTATCCATTCCTTAAATGAAAGATTTCACTTTAATTAGGACTAAAAATTGAGCTAATGTAGTTATAATAAGCAAATTTTCTGAGTAAATACAATAACTGCTTTGCTTTGTAAAAATCTATGTTAATAACAAGTAACAGTCAACTGGTATCACATAGACAAAACTGTATACAAGCAGAAATGTGTACAGTTCCTGTAGATATCTCATTAAGGCTTGAGGCCTTCTGTAAAGAACCTCATTTCCTCTGGGTTATATATACTTTTCTAGTAACCTCATCTCTTGATTGAGACATAAATATGACTTGAAGCTAAATATAAATAAGATAAAGTATTCTGGGATAGATAATGAATCAATAGCAAATGCTTTTCTAGAAGTCATAATGAAGATTGATAGACTGATATGTATTAAGAGAAAAGCTCAGACTGTGCAACATGGTGAAACCCAGTTTCTACAAAAAAAAATACAAAAATCAGCCAGGTGTGCATCCCTGTACTCCCAGCTACTCGGGAGGCTGAGGTGGGAGGAACACTTGAGCCTGGGTGGCAGAGGTTGCAGTGAGCCGAGATTGAGCCACTGCACTCCAGGCTAGGTGACAGAGAGAGACCCTGTCTCAAAAACAAAACAAAACAAAACAAAAAAACAAAAAAGCTGTCAGATTTGCTGACCTCAAAGGCTCATTAGTTTTTCTCTTTGGATCATACAGTTTTCATTCCCCCATCCACCAATCTAATCTTTCAGGTGAGGGTACTTTTGTAAATTTGAGCTTATGGTTTAAAAGCAAAATTAAACCTTAAAAAATATAATACAGTTAGAATAAAAAGGAATATTACTTTATATTCTAATATCTGTGTCAGAGGCAGTAGATGCAAGACAGTTGATCATTTGTCCAGGAATATCAAGACTGTTTAGCATTTAGGTCACTGATAATTGGCCGAATTATTTAGATATTCATAGTCCCATTTCACCAGCGAGCTTTTCATACTTTACATCTGTGCATGTGTGTGCACCCACACACATGAACAAAACAGGGACAGATTAACTGGATCTGTGGTTGCAGTTTCAGATTGCAGCTGACCAGCATCTACTTAATGCTGGATTGGGGTGTGGGGGTGTGTGCTGGGGAAGAGAGTTGTTTTATGTGTTACAGCTAAAATTTTTACAGTAGAATTATTTGTCAAATAATTGTTTATGCATATAATTGACATTTTAATTGGTCTCTTATATTCCTTCTTGGTTCAATTCTTGTTTGTTGCTCTACCCTGATTCCTTGTCATTATGACTCTCACCTGTTAATAGTGAAATTGACAGTGTACAGCTGTCATTCCTTGAATTGGGGTGGGTAGACATAGGGAAGTGGTTTTAGTTTTCTAGTATTTTCCCTTATTCCTCCCCCAATATACTTACATAGTCTCTTGCTCCTTTTCCCTTAATTCCCCTCCCTCTTTGATTTCCCTGCCCCCCCCCCCCTCCCCTTCCCCCCCTCCTCCTCCCCCTCCCTCTCCCCTTTCCCCCTTTCCCCTCTTTCTCTCTCTTCTCTCCCTCCCCCTCCCCCCTCCACCTCTCCCCTCTCCCCTCTGATGGAGTCTTGCTCTGTCACCCAGGCTTGAGTGCAGTGGTGCAATCTCAGTTCACTGCAATCTCCACTTAGCAGGTTCAACCGATCCTCCTTCCTCACCTCCCGAGTAGCTGGGATTACAGGTGCCTGCCACCACGCCCGGCTAATTTTTTGTATTTTTTAGTATAGACGGGGTTTCACCATGTTGGCCAGCTGGGTCTCGAACTGACCTCAGGTGATTCACCCGCCTCGGCCTCCCGGAGTGCTGGGATTATAGGCATGAGCCACCTCGCCCAGCCCCAGCTGCCTCTCTTGAGAAGGGACTGGAGAAGAAAAGAGGTTGGAGAATGGCTTCTTCATAGGACTTGGTAGCTTACACAGCACTCAGAGCCTCCCTTTTAGTATTTAGCACATTTTACAGATTTTAGCAGATTACTCAAAAGCATGGTTGATTTATAAGCATATTTATGCAATGTAAAAAAAAATCTTAACTGATCAATAAGTAAGGTAGTACCTGTGCAGGGTTTAGTCAGTGGCACTACTCAGAGTGTAAGAAACAGAAAATCTTGTCCCTTTTTATTTGTCATTTGGAAGGTTTGCCTTCTGGAAGGTCTATTTTTGGATGTTTACCTAAAAAAGAAAAGCTGCTTATAATTCCTGTGCTCTATTACAAATATTTTATATTTCTAATGGAAAATCCTCTTATATTTGCCTTTCAAATTGAACGGACCACTTTTAAAGAGAAAAATTCCAAATAATTTAACTTGAGTTGCTTAGCTTAGGAAGTGTAAGCTTTCTCTATGGCTGCTAAAATCATGCTGAGGGCTTCTGATTAGGACCAGGGTCAATGTCAGTCAGCTTTTCTCCATTAACTGGAATCTGATATAAGCCCAGACTGCTTAGTTAAAAGCAGCTTATAAATCTAAACAAGTTCTCTGAGGCTGAATTCTGTTAGTGATTGTTTCAGATGAGTTGACTTTTTCATAGAACTGAAAATTAATTTTAAAACTTGGATAGTATTTTTAAATGATTCTTTTTCTAACCATTATTCTAGGATACCGACAGGGCTAGGACTCCTAATGGAAGAAAAATAGTTTATTTTTAGAACTAGATCTCTTTCTCCTACATGAAATTTATGGCAATACTAAAAGATTAAAGAACATAAAAAAAGCCCTCCATTTCAGTGACTAAAATGTACAGCTATTTCTCTGTCTTATGGAGTCTTCCTGTTTCTCTTGTTCTCATGGTACTTCTTGCTCCTGACTTTGTGTTCTACTCCAGCTCATGTTGCTGAATAGTTTAAGAAGTACTCCAGTAAGAATGTTTGTACTTCTTGTAGCACAGTGTATCATAGCAGTAAAAAATAGTGTTAGGAAGTATAAGGGCCTAACTTGCAAGTGGAAAAGATTTCTAGGGAAAGCAACAGTTGGCAGCATCATCATCTTTCCAAACTCACCAACATCTTCGTGTGTTTTCTCCTAGCTATCTGCTCTATGCAAGCACTTAGACAATCTATGGGAAGAACATCGTGGCAGCGTGGTCCTGTTTGCCTGGATGCAATTTCTTAAGGAAGAGACCCTAGCATACCTGAATATTGTCTCTCCTTTTGAGCTCAAGATTGGTTCTCAGAAAAAAGTACAGAGAAGGACAGCTCAAGCCTCTCCCAACACAGAGCTAGATTTTGGAGGAGCTGCTGGATCTGATGTAGACCAAGAGGAAATTGTGGATGAGAGAGCTGTGCAGGATGTGGAATCATTGTCAAATCTGATCCAGGAAATCTTGGACTTTGATCAAGCTCAGCAGATAAAATGCTTTAATAGTAAATTGTTCCTGTGCAATATCTGTTTCTGTGAGAAGCTGGGTAGTGAATGCATGTACTTCTTGGAGTGCAGGCATGTGTACTGCAAAGCCTGTCTGAAGGACTACTTTGAAATCCAGATCAGAGATGGCCAGGTTCAGTGCCTCAACTGCCCAGAACCAAAGTGCCCTTCAGTGGCCACTCCTGGTCAGGTAACTGTTTATACCCTGCTGATGGGTGCCTCTTAATTCTCTTCCACAAATGGAGATATCTTCTTGGGAACTTCATTGATAGGGTTTATGAGGCAGTCTGAGGCCTTGGAGCCAGCCCACAAGTTGTTTCACTGTATCCATTAAGAATTCTGTTGTCTTAGTCTACTGCTTAAGCAAATGGAATGCTTCCTTTGGCCTTGCAATGGGCAAGGATGAGTGTTAAAGTAGTTATTAAATAACTGTGGTAATTTACTTTCTATATCTGCTAGGATCCCATGAACTTTGGGGAATCACTAGCTTATCCTTGTGTGAGGTTGGGATTTGAAGGGGACATCTCTTGAATGATTAACCGAATTTTTTTACAGACTTTAGCGTAAGTACAGCCTACTTAGGTTTTTTGTTGTTGTCGTTTTGTTTTGTTTTTTTGAGACAGAGTCTTGCTGTGTCACCCAGGCTGGAGTGCAGCAGCGCCATTTCAGCTCATTGCAGCCTCTGCCTCCCAGGTTCAAGTGATTCTCCTGCCTCAGCCTCCTGAGTAGCTGAGATTACAGGCACCCGCCACCATGCCTGGCTAATTTTTTTTTTTTTTTTGTATTTTTAGTAGCAATAGGGTTTCACCATATTGGCCAGGCTGATCTTGAACTCCTGACCTCAAGTGATTCTCCCATCTTGGCCTCCCAAAGTGCTGGGATTACAGGCGTGAGCCACTGCACCCGGTCAGTTTTTTGTTTTCTTATTAAAGCATAATTTTACTTAAAATAAGCTACACATTTAAATCATACAAGGCTAGCATGGTAGCTTATACCTATAATACCAGCACTTTGGGAGGCCAAGATAGGATCGCTTGAAACTAGGGGTTTAAAACCAGCCTATACAAAATAGCATGACTCCATGTCTTAAAAAAAAGTCAGTCAGGCATGATGGCAAATGCCTGTTGTCCTAGCTACTTGGGAAGCTGAGGTAAAGAATCACTTGAGCCCAGGAATTCAAGGCTGCAATGAGCTGTGATTGCACCACTGCACTCCAGTCCTGACGACAGAGCAAGACCCCATCTCTAAAGAAATAAAACTAAAATATAAAATAAATTGTACACTTTGCTTAGTTTTAACAAACTATATGTGTAGTATATATTGCCATCTCAGTCAATATATATACTTGGTTTGATTTTGAAGTGAAAGAGAGGTTTTCGTTTATGTGCCCATCTGTTTTACGCTATCATCCTAAGAATCTCCTTAGGTTCAGAACTGGTTGTGGAATCATCAAACCTGTGGTGTTTTGTATTTCCCTCTAGGTCAAAGAGCTAGTAGAAGCAGAGTTATTTGCCCGTTATGACCGCCTTCTCCTCCAGTCCACCTTGGACCTGATGGCAGATGTGGTATACTGCCCCCGCCCATGCTGCCAGCTGCCTGTGATGCAGGAGCCTGGCTGCACCATGGGTATCTGCTCCAGCTGCAATTTTGCCTTCTGTACCTTGTGCAGGTTGACCTACCATGGGGTCTCTCCATGTAAGGTGACTGCAGGTATGTTTTAACTATGTGAACCCATACCCCATCCCCAATCTCTTCCCGACATCTCACTCCCCTACCAGCACCTTATGACTTCATTCTTCAATTTGGAAGTCTTCATCCAACAGATATTTCTGTGTCAGTGACTGTTCTAGGCTCTGGGATTGTAGTAGTGACCAAAAGAGACAAAAATCTCTGCCCTTATGGAACTTACATACTACTAGCGGAGACAGGAAAACAAGGATATCAGGTGGTGTAAGTGCTGAGGAGCCAGAAGAAATAAAACAAGGATAGGATATAAAATGTTCTGAAGGGGAAGGGACTTGGGATTTTAGTTACAGAAGCCAGGGGAGGTCTCACTGGCAAAATGGTTTAAGTAAAGGGTTGAAGGAGGTAAGAAAAACCATGCAGATATCAGGGAGGAACATTCCAGAAGGAATGGCACAGCAAACTCTGTGAACATGGAATAATGTAGATCCTTGATGGCAAATGCAGGGCATCTAAGCTGCCATTCTTGTCTCCATGGCACATGTGTTTGACCAGTCATCAAATGCTTTCTCCTTGAGCCCAGAGAAGCCTCAGAATCTTCCTCAACATGGCACCTCAGAAGACTACCCTCTGATGAAATAGACATAGAAGGGAAACGTGTTTGTCATCTCCAGCCGAGATAAGGAATCATAAATCAGGTCCTTAATGTCGATTTAACTGGACTTTGGTGGCTTAGTCTTTCTCAGACGAACAGGGATGATGATAACAGCTACTTCACAAAATTGCAGCTGGAGCAGATGACAGTAACTTTGCAGGGTTATTTTAAGGATAAAGGGAACTAATATAGTGCTATTCAAAATTGTTAAATTTGTTATACTGGTCTATAATAAGATACAGAAATTGAGAGGGTTAGAAACTTTTGACAGTGGAGAAAAAAAATGGTTTTTTATCATCAATAGTTTGAGAAACAGTGGGATAATACATGTAAAATGCAAAATGGGCCCAGGCACAATGGCTCACCTCTGTAATCTCAGCACTTTGGCAAGCCAAGGCGGGGCGTTGCTTGAGTCCTGGAGTTTGACACCGTGGCAAAACCCTGTCTCTACAAAAAAATATAAAAATTAATGGGATGTGGTGATACACACCTGTAGTCCCAGGCACTCAGGTTGCTGAGGTGGGAGGATCACTTGACCCCAGGAGGTAGAGGTTGTGGTGAACCAGATTGCACCACTGCACTCCGGCCTAGGAGACAGAGTGGGATCAAAAAAAAAAAAAAAGTCATTATTAATACTATTATTATTGTAGTTATTACTTGCTAGTGTTAGCAGAGTGTCATTATTTCCAAGAAAGTACCCTGAGTGAAAAGAGTGGATAGGTAATTTCAGTTGCATCAGCCAGCATCTTGTAGGTAGGCCTCTTCATTATCAAATAGTTAATGGTGCTGACTTAGTGAAAAATGTCCTTCAACCTTTGTGTCTTTTAGATAAGTCAGTCTTTAACTGTATACTTCCAGTTGCATCAACATCACCACCTCGTTGATGGCAGAACGGCCCTTTTTCTTCTCGCCACCCTTCTTTGCGGGAGCCATTCTGTCTGGTCCGAGTTGAAAAAAAAGTGCCATTTTAAGTTATTTTTAGTAACCATTAGTAAAAGTTAATTTTCCATTTCACTTTCTAGAGAAATTAATGGACTTACGAAATGAATACCTGCAAGCAGATGAGTCCAATAAAAGATTTTTGGAACAAAGGTATGGTAAGAGGGTGATTCAGAAGGCACTGGAAGAGCTGGAAAGTAAAGAGTGGCTAGAGAAGAACTCTAAGAACTGCCCATGTTGTGGAACTCCCATAGAGGTAAATGTTTTAGGACAGAGTTGGAGGCCATCAGCCTTGCAAGCATGTTATGATTACCTTAAGAAGCCTTATTAGTCACTTTTATGACTTAGAAAACACATGCTGGTATTTTTACACTTTCTTACTTGGAAGATGGAAATTTCACTACTAAATATTGTTATCAACCTTAAATGTATGTAGACTTCCCTTTTCCAAGTATTTTCTTAACAGCGACCTTTGTTCTCACATTGTATCCACCTCAAAATTGAATGGGTTTTAAGAAGAGCATACTAGAGCTATGGTCAATTCTTACTTCATCTATGTGATTAAAAAATAAATCAAATCTGATCTCTCAGAACTACCCTGGAATGCTGCACACCGGTTTAATTAAGATATACTCAGGAATTTATCTGAGCCAAAATAATCAGACAAATCTATTGCTTCTTAACAAAAATCTTAATATATTTTAAAATCAAAATACATCTTTGCATTTGATTCTATCGTTCTGTCTGAGCTGAACCTAGTGGTGATACCTATTATTCCATTGAGGAAACTGGCACTATATATAATCACTTTTTTTTTTTTTTTTTTTTGATACTGAATCTCTCTCTATTGCCTAGGCTAGAGTGTAGTAGCGCAATCTCAGCTCACTGCAATCTTCACTTCCCAGGTTCAAGGAATTCTCATGCCTCAGCCTCCCGAGTAGCTGGGATTACAGGTGCCAGCCACCACTGGCCACACCTGGCTAATTTTTTGTATTTTTAGTAGAGATGGGGTTTCACCATGTTGGCCAGGCTGGTCTCGAACTCCTGACCTTAAATGATCCGCCTGCCTTGACCACCCAAAGTGCTGGGATTACAGGCATGAACCACTGCACCAGGCCATATAATCAATTTTAGCATACCTTAGCCCTATGACAGAATGGAGGACTTGGTACCAAATATTTACTTAGATTTATGTAAAAATTAAAAACCCACACTTGTTACATCCAAATATTTTAATGTTAATCTAACTATGTGTTCCAGTTATATGTGTGTAATTTGTATCTACTGTTTATCAGAAGAGACTGTGCCAAGTAGCTAGTTGTAGTAACACTAGCTACCTATTTTCTTTATTTTACTTGTAATATAAAATAGAAAGCATTACATAGTTATCTGTGACTAGGAGAATGTTGTACTGAATCTTTTTGGCATGCGCCTGTCTCTTCTGCTTTTACAGCCTTGATATTTTTCTCTTTCTATCCTTCCCACCAGAAATTAGATGGATGTAACAAGATGACATGTACTGGCTGTATGCAATATTTCTGTTGGATTTGCATGGGTTCTCTGTCTAGAGCAAACCCTTACAAACATTTCAATGATCCTGCTTCACCATGTTTTAACCGGTATGTATACACAGAATTCCCCAGGTACTTGATTTGCAGACTATAAATCCAGTGTTTTATTTAGTACTTGGACTTACTTAAGAGAATTATCTTACCTGTTTTCCCCCATAAAGGAATTTTTATATTATTTTTCTCAAAAATGAGTTTTATAATGAGAATATACACTATGTGGAAGTTTTTACAGTGAAAGTTTTCAAACATACAGAGAATTTGAAAGGATAGGACTATGAATAGGATACTTTCCACCTAAATTAACAATTGATAGTACTTTGCCATATTTGTTCCCTTAACATTTTTAATGAACTACATAGAGTTATGGTAATGCTTCAACTCTAAATATTTCCACCTTTCTCCTAGGATAAGGAAATGCTTCCACATAATGACAGTACTTTAAAAAAATGTAATGATAGTGGCATATTGCTATCTAGTAAACATACATATTTGAAACTTCCTAACTATCCTTGAAAATATCTTTTAAAGTTATTTGATTGAACCAGAATCTAAACAAGTTCAGTCAATGGATTTGGTTCTCTTTAGTCTCTCAATACAGAAAAGCTTTGGCTCACCTTTGTGTGTGTGTGTGTGTGTGTGTGTGTGTGTGTGTGTGTGTTGTGAACATTCACTTTTTGAAAAGTCCAGGCCAGTAGTCTTATATAACATCTTACCTTCTAGAGTTTTATTTGTCCATGATATCCTTTATCTTGTTTCTGTATCCTATTCGCTATAAACTGGAAGTTAGGTCTAGACTGAAGTTTGATCAGATTTAGAGTAACATTTTTTCTGCTGATACTTCATGAGGAGTGATGTGTATTCCACATTGGATCACATCAGGAGGCCCATGATGTCCTCCATTAGTGTGGTGCTCAGTTCTACTGTTTGCTTTATTGTAAAGGTAAGTTTTCCATTTTGTTATTAGTAAGTAATCTGTGGGGTGATTCCTTGGCACAATGGGAATATCCTGTTCTCCAAGAGCTCCCACTCTCAGCATCAGTTGATGATCTTTGTTAAGGGGTGTCTATTAAGTAAATACATTGGTATTGTGAAACTATAAGAGAAATTGAAGAAACAACCCCTGCCATGAACTATTGGAAATCGAGCATTGGAAATTGCATAAATTGTAGGTAACATAAGGAAAGGAAGACAAATTGATAGCTACAAAACATTCTACAAATGGAGGGTACAAGAACCATGAAGATAGAATGGAGTGATGAACATGTAATATTAATAATAGTGTCTTAAAAGAGTTCGGTTGCTTCTAAATTGCCTGACTTCCCCAGTCTTGGCTTATTCTATGTATTGTGTACACTGAGTATCAGTTTTGTGATACTCATCCCCCATTATTGTTTATCCTTGGTCCTGGAGAGTTTGTCTGGATTCTAAAAGGACTGTTTTGTTTGTTTTAATTTGGAAAGGAGAGCTTTATTTTTCATAAAGAGTTGCAGCCTACAAGGTGGCCATTCTGAGAGGTTGGGAAGCATAGCCTTCAGCCAGAAACTAGAAACAGACACTTTAAGGGTGCGAAGAGGAAGACAGGGATTTATGCCCTACAAGATAGCCAGATGTACATATTCAATAAGCTATAGGAGGAGTAATGAATATGTATGAAAGGAGAAACATGCCGCATGTGCAGTTGAGCTTCATTCCCCTTCAGGGGACCCATGTTCAAAAAATGATGGCATTGGCCGGGAGCGGTGGCTCACGCCTATAATCCCAGCACTTTGGGAGGCTGAGGTGGGCAGATCGCCTGAGGTCAGGAGTTCGAGACCAGCTTGACCAACATGGAGAAACCTCATCTCTACTAAAAATACAAAATTAGCCAGGCATGGTGGCACATGCCTGTAATCCCAGCTACTCAGGAGGCGGGAGAATTGCTTGAACCTGGGAGGCAGAGATTGCAGTGAGCCAAGATTGCGCCATTGCACTCCAGCCTGGGCAACAAGAGTGAAACTCCATCTCAAAAAAAGAAAAAAGGTGGCATAAGCATGATCTGTGGGGCAGTTCTCTGACATGAAAAGGTGAAGCAGAGAACAGGAAAACCTCAGTACACATCCTCCATAGACTGGCTAGAACCGCTGTATTAGCAGGAAGAAATGCTGCTCCTTTTTTTGTGCCAAATCTGTAGAAGGGAGGGACAGCAATCAGGCCATTGGTTGATATCAGCTGTGGAGCAAATCTTCCCAAAGGGTTGGTTTGTTTAACCCTTAAGAAAGAAAACCTGGGCCAGGCGCGGTGGCTCAAGCCTGTAATCCCAGCACTTTGGGAGGCCGAGGTGGGTGGATCACGAGGTCAAGAGATCGAGACCATCCTGGTCAACATGGTGAAACCCCATCTCTACTAAAAATACAAAAAATTAGCTGGGCATGGTGGTGCGTGCCTGTAATCCCAGCTACTCAGGAGGCTGAGGCAGGAGAATTGCCTGAACCCAGGAGGCGGAGGTTGCGGTGAGCCGAGATCGCGCCATTGCACTCCAGCCTGGGTAACAAGAGCGAAACTCCGTCTCAAAAAAAAAAAAAAAGAAAGAAAACCTAATGGTGGTCAGTGAGGGAGGGGTGAGGGAGGGGGCTATGACCAGGTATATCTGGCCTCCCATTTTCAAGATTACTCTGGGGTCCCCTTGGCCAGGAAAGGGTCTGTTCAGTTGGTTGTGGAACTTATATTTCATTTTTATTTCTCATTTTCCCCCTTTTGGCTGAGATTTGCCAGAGAAAGCATTGATGGTCAAACTTATTTTGTCCCATATCGTTGCTGGAGTGGTGTGGCAAACCTCCCTGCCTCAATCCAGGCCCTCAGTGGGACTGCTGTGGCCAAAAGACTTACAGCCAATTAAATTTCCAGGCCAGATGGGAATGGAGCTGGGCAGGCACTCATCCACCCTAAAAGGGCTGTTCTTAACCAACTTTAGGGTAGATTGTTCAGAGGGGCCCAGATTTCAGCCCTCCTCAGTGGAATGATTAAAGGAGAAGAAAGGATGTACAGAAATGTTATAAGAGTACAGAAAATATTTTTGAGAGGAGAGGCAATTTATAATTGTTTCATTCAAGTGTTTTAAAATGTACCTTTCTCTATGCTTCCAGGCTGTTTTATGCTGTGGATGTTGCTGACGATATTTGGGAAGATGAGATTGAAGACTAGTTAACTACTGCTTAAGATATGGAAGTGGATTGGTTTTCCCTAATCTTTTGTCAAGTACACAAAGTAACTTTGCAGGATATTTAGGATACTATTCATTCATTCTTCCTATGTAGAAGTTATGGAAGAACAAGGTTTATATTTTCATGTGGTACTACTGAAGAAGGTGCATTCATACATTTTTAATGTAAGTTGAGAAAAATTATAAGCCAAAGGTTCAGAAAACGAAACTACAGAATATTATAATGTTCCCAAAGCTCTGAATAGTTAAAAATTAAATATTTATTTTCTTCCCCAAGCCTTAGGTAAGGAGAAGAGGGGTCAAGAGTTAAACTTAGAGACCCTTTGTCTCTGAGAAGCATCCTTCTAAGACATTCTGTTGGAGCTCCCTCAGTACTACTCCTTACAACTGGGGTGGGTAGAAGCCTTATGAAAATTATACTGAGAACCTGATCTCATTTAATTTACTCCATGTTAATCACATTCCTACCAATCTAAATTTCTGCCAAGTCAGTTCTCTTTAGAGGAAGTCCTTTACTCTGAAACTGACTGGATGGTCCAGTGTCATTTTGATCTAGTTTTCAGAATGGAAATTTATAATAATTTAAAAATATGTTTTAATACCACAAACACTGTGGGGCACTTGATATTTATTAGTAGTGTATATGGTCTACTGGTTTCAGGCCAAATCTAGAATTTAGTGATAACTGGCTCAGAAGAATTTTAGTTCTATTCAACTTTCCTGGGTGTTAGAACCTAGATTCAAAATGACTTGTCTTTGCTACTTGTGTTCCACATTCTCCCTCATTACCTTTTCCCTACCTTCTGTTTGTAAGGACAATTTTAATATTCCAGAAGCACATGTTTTTATTTCTTCTGCTGGAATAGGAGAAAGCTTAATATATTCCCAAGCTGAATGTTCTTGAATTATCCGCATTTACCACTGTATATGCGTATAATGACAGTATAACCTGTCTATACCACTGTAGTTCCAGTCCTAACTTTCTGAATTACTTTTAAAGATCTTCTCTAACAATCTATGGGAATTTGGCTTCATACTCTTTTTTTGCAGCAGCAGTGTTTGGGGTGATAATTTTGAATTGATACCTGTTCCTTTTTCTGGGTTTTGTTGGCTTTTTGAAAAATTGTCTTTTCTTATCGTTGGTGAGTGGCTAGGTAGCAAAGTAAAATTTTTTGGAAAAGAGGACAGAAAAATTGAACTGCAGCTTGACAATGTATTCTTTTTTTCCTACTTTGTCATTGAAAATTGAGCAATCACTTTTAACTGTTTTAGGTATGTGTGTCCAGAGTGAGCAAAGACTATGTTTTTGGATTGTCAAAGAGGATGCTTAATCTTAAAAATAAAAATAAATTTTAAGATTATCTTATAATTAGAACAGAGTTGCTGCCATTTGTTCTGTCACCAAGGCAACTAATCACATTTTAAAATTGTTCGGCATATTACATATTCTTAAGAAAAAGGTCACAGAATAGCATGTCTTTTACCTGGGCTTGTGACTGAGCTTAGGTTTTAGGGCACATATTTTGTTTAAACCAGATAGTTTATGGTCTTCCATTCAGGACATTTTGCATAAAAATTGAGGTTAATTTAAAGAATAAATTGAAGATAAGAAATTAAAATGATTTGTTCTACAATATATACCTGAGAAGAGTGATTTCTGTGATCAAAGAGGAATTTAATTAAGATTTATTCATAAAGAGCTACTCAGAAGCTCTATAGTTCATGAGCTACTTGTTATTTTCTAGAGATCATTTTATTTTAAGCTGTTGTATGTTGTTGATGATGCCATGGAAGTAGGAAAGAAGCCTTTATAATATAGTTTTATGAAAGAAATGAAAGGCTTTTTTCCCATTTATGATAGTAAAAATACAACACAGGTGTTTGGTGTTTAGTCTCAAAAATTTGGTCACCTTAGTGATTCTCTCTTAGGTGCAAAGTCTTTATAACTCAATTTTAACAAAGAAAATAGGGCTTGTATTTTTGAAACATGAGTTATGAGCTAATTTTAAGATGGTATAGTTTTGGTAGAGTACTTTTGTCTTAGTACAATGAAAGATTTGGGTAACTACCCAAATGCCTTGTAAAACAATTGGGTTTGTAGAAGGTTGCTGTGTCAGCAAAATATATGATAGAATAAAGAGTTTTGTACCTGCTTTAATTTCATGAAAGTCTTTTTTACCAGTGAGCTGAGATTTGCCATAAATTAGTATGAACCTCATGGGTCTTTTTTCTTTTGAGACAGGGCCTCACTCTGTCACCCAGGCTGGAGTACAGTAGTGTAATCATAGCTCACTGCAGCCTTGCTCTCCTGGTCTGAAGCAATCCTCTCACTTCAGCCTCCTGAGCAGCTGGGACTACAGGCATGTGGTACCACACCCAGCTACTTTGTTTGTTTGTTTGTTTTTTGTTTTAATGTTTAGTAGAAAAGAAGTCTCGTAAAAAAAAAAAAAAAAAAAAAGTCTCGCTATATTACCCAGGCTGATCTTAAACTCCTGAGTTCAAGTGATCTTCTGCCTTTGCCTGCCAAAGTGCTGGGATTACAGGCATGAGTCATGGTGCCTAGGCTCCTGGGTGTTTTGTGGGGGAGTTTGAAGAGTCAATGTCTCTACATTTTTATGTAAAAAGTTTGGGTCTAGAGCTGATAAATGAAAATAAGCTACCAAGTAACTTTTTTTTTTTAAAGTCAAAATAGAAGCTCTGTGACATTTTAAGCTTGCGATTGAACTAACTTAAGGATCTGCCTCTGTCAATTGAGATGCATCTTGTTTCATCCATCTTTCTTTTAGTTTTTTTGTTTTGTTTTGTTTTGTTTTGTTTTTTTTTTGTTTTTTTTTTTTTTTAGACGGAGTTTCGCTCTTGTTACCCAGGCTGGAGTGCAATGGCGCGATCTCGGCTCACGGCAACCTCCGCCTCCTGGGTTCAGGCAATTCTCCTGCCTCAGCCTCCTGAGTAGCTGGGATTACAGGCACGTGCCACCATGCCCAGCTAATGTTTTGTATTTTTAGTAGAGACGGGGTTTCACCATGTTGACCAGGATGGTCTCGATCTCTTGACCTCGTGATCCACCCGCCTCGGCCTCCCAAAGTGCTGGGATTACAGGCTTGAGCCACCGCGCCCGGCCTCTTTCTTTTAGTTTTAATTTTTATTATTATAATTTTTATTTAGCTACCCTATTAACCATCTTTTTTATAAAAGACTGTATTTTAGAGTATAGATTTACAGAAAAATTGCAAAGATTGTACAGCGTTCCCATGTACCCCATACTTGGTTTTCCTTATTAACATATTAGTGTGGCACATTTATCACATTAATGAAGCAGTATTGCTATTATTGAGTTCATACTTTTTTCGGATTTTCTTAGTTTTACCTAATGTCCTTTTTCTGTTCCAGGATCCCTTCTAGGATACCACATTATTAGATTTAGTCTTTGTGTTCCCTTAGACCCCACTCAGCTGTCACAGTTTCTCATCTGTTTTTATTTTTATATAAACATTCATTAGACCTTGGTATAGCTGGATTGGGCAGGAGCCCAAAAAACTTTTAAAGACAGATAACTTAATCCTAGCAGGCTCAGCAAATCAATGATTTCTTTTTGACTGAGATCTTTTGTAGCTTTAAATTGGTTACTTCTCAGGATGTTCCAGTGCTGTATATGCAGTTTTAGGCTGTTCACCTGTTCTGGTAATTTTTCTGCTCAGCTTCTTGAGAAACATTAAACACTGAGCAAGTTGATCAAGTCAGGAAGTCAGCTGGACCCATTAGACTGTGCACTGGTGTGAGAATTAGCTTGCCATCTTGGCTAAATCCCAAAGCTTGTTGAGTAGATGTATTCCTTCCTGTTGACCTATGGAGGAGCTGGTGAAGGTAGGAAAGGCTGAGAATCAGAAGAAGCCATATTCCCAGACAGACTTGTGGTGGTGTCAGCAGTCTTTTATTTATTTTTTTTTTTTGAGACAGAGTCTTGCTCTGTCACCCAGGCTGGAGTGCAATGGCATGATCTTGGCTCACTACAACCTCTGCCTCCCAGGTTCAAGAGATACTCCTGCCTCAGCCTCCTGAGTAACTGGGATTACAGGTGCCTTCCACTGCACTCAGCAAATTTTTTTTTTTTTGTATGGGGTTTCACCATGTTGGCCAGGCTAGTTTCAAACCCCTGACTTCAAGTGATCCACCCGCCTTGGCCTCCCAAAGTGCTAGGATTAGAGGTGTGAGCCACCATGCCTGGCCCAAAGTCATTTGCCCAAAGTCTTCTTTTTTAGTCGTAGACAGTTCTAATTTACATTAGTAATCTCTTAATATACTTAGTATGTATTTTTTCTGTCAAGAGTAATGAGAGTTAATTAGAGGAGATAATAATAAAGTTATTCATGTGGCTGTCTGCTTTGAAAGGGAATTTCAGAATTTTGACTGGAGTTTGGAACTCCCACCTAGTGTTAACTTTGCCAGCAGGTGGCAGAAGTTCCCATGTTATAAAAATATAGTCACTGGTGGTCTCCTTGCCACGGTGCGCCAGAGCAGAGTCTGAGTCTGAGGCAGAGGGACTCATGGCAGGACAGGCGTTTAGAGAGTTTCTTCTACTCTTTGACCGAGTATTGGTTGAAAAGAGTGCTGCTGAAACTGTAACCACAGGAGACATTATCCTTCCAGAAAAATCTCAAGGAGAAGTGTTGCAAGCAACAGTAGTCGCTGTTGGATCGGGTTCTAAAGGAAAGGGTGGAGAGATTCAACCAGTTACCATCAAAGTTGGAGATAAAGTTCTTCTCCAAGAATATGGAGGCACCAAAGTAGTTCTAGATGACAAGGATTATTTCCGATTTAGAGATGGTGACATTCTTGGAAAGTATATAGACTGAAATAAGTCACTATTGAGATGGCGTCAACATGAAGCTACCCATTCCACTGAAGTTCTGAAATCTTTCATCATGTAAATAATTTCCATATCTCTCTTTTATAAAAACTAATGATAACTGATGAAAAAATATATAGTCACTGGTTAAGACAGGTAAGAGTATGTTGTTTTGTTTTAGAAGTAGATGTAACTTCTGGTATTTAAATTTTTCTCATATTTCATTATAGTCTGTTTTATACTTTAGTAGACAGAATGGTATCTAACAATAGTAGCAAGGCAGGAACAGCAGTATTATCTGAAATTTTTAAATACTTAAAAGTGTACATGAACCACAGTTGACATGCAGTTGTTACATAGCAGAGTGTCATCCCTGATAGTGGCACTTACCTTCAGCCACCAAAGTAGGGAAATGAAGTTGTATATGAAATTCCTAAGTAGGACCTAGGAATTTTAACATCATGGTCCCCTTTGATGCTGGTAAGAGGAGCCAGCCTGCTCCCCAAACCTTAACTAAAAAAAATCAGGCCAGACTGAGTGTGGTCAGAAATCTGGCTATGGGAGCTTTAGGGGTATTCTTAACAAATGTTGATGGTAATAATCAACTTTCAGCACCCATCATGTAGACTGTACAGTTTCTCAGGTTGTCTGAAGATTTACCACTCCAAGGATTCCCACATTTCTCTGAGCCAGAGGATGCTTTGGAGAAGATTGTGTACACTGGAAACTTAGGGAGATTTGATGCTGAAGTTGCTAAGTACAAAGTCAGCATAGTCACTTCTTTACCTTGCTTGTGTCTCTTTTTCCCTTCATTATAAAAATGAAAAAAAGAAAAACAACTAAACTTACACTAATACAACATAAATACATGTAAATTTTAAAAGCGATTGTGGGTCTTACCCTCAGTCTGATTCTACTTTTTGCAACCTATAGTATTGCCTAGAATAACTCACTTATTTAACAAATATTGATGGAATACCCTGCAGTGGGCCTTACTCTTTTTCAAGGTGGTGAGAATGTAGCAGTAAATAAAACAGACATAATCTCCCTGCCCGTGGAACTTAAATTCTGACAGAAGGAAAGAGACACTAAGTAAATTATCTGATTCATCAGAAGATAAGTGCCACGGGGCCGTGTGCAGTGGCTCATGCCTGTAGTCCTAGTGCTTTGGGAGGCTGAAGTGAGAGGATCGCCTGGAGCCAGGAGTTTTGAGACCAATCTGGGCAACAAAGCAAAACCCTGTCTTTTAAAAAAACAAAACAAAACAAAAACCTAAAAATTAGCTGGCTGCAGTGGTATGTGCCTGTAGTCCCAGCTGACCCTCAGGATGCTAAGGCAGGAGGATTTCTTGAGCTCAGGCAGTCAAGGCTGCAGTGAGCCTTGATCACACCACTGCACTCTAGCCTGAATGACAAAGCAAGACCTTTGTCTCAAAAAAAAAAAAAAAAAAAAAAAAGTCATAGAAGTTGGGGAGAAGAAATACAGAGTTAGGGGAGGCAGGGCAATGTTAGAATCTATTTATAGAGAAGACTCCATTAAGATAGCACTTGAACAAAGGCTGGGCAGTGTGAAATTGAACCTTCTGGACACCTGGGAGGAGAGAATTCCAGGCAGAGACAGCATGGGCAAAGCCCTTGGGATATGAGCATGTAAGCGGGCTCTAGGAACAGTGTGGTAGCCAGTCAGGGCTGAAGCAAACCAAGGAAGAGTGAGAGATGGGATATGAGCAGGTGGTGCTGTAGACTATACAGAGCCTTGTGTGAACTTTGGCTGCCACTCTGAGATGGGGGGCATTGAGCAGAGGAGTGTTAGGGTCTGGCTTGTGTCTTAGGGGAATGGTGAGCAAAGGTGGAAAGAAACCAATTAGGAGGCCATTTACAGTAGCTCAGGTGAAAAGTGCAGTTGGCTTTTACCAGGGTGCCAGAAGTTAAAATCTTGAGAATTGATTAGATTCTGTACTTATCTCAAAGGTAAAACTAATAGGAGTTGCTGATAGGCTTGATGTATAATGTGAGAAAATAATGCATCAGGGTTGATTTCTAGGTATTTTTGAGCAGCTGAGATGAGAAACCTGTAGGTAGCACAGGTTTGTGGCTGAATATCAGGAATCTGGTTGTGGACAGGTAAATTTGAGATGCCTGGTAGTTATCCCAGGGGAGATGACAGATAGGCAGCAGGATATTCTAGTCCAGAGTTGAAGGGAGCGACTCAGGCTGGAGATAGAATTATGGGAGTCAACATGTAAATGGTATTTAAAGCCATGAGACGAGATGACATTACTAAGGGAGTGAGTTACATGTAGAGAAAGGTCCAAGGACTGAGTATTGGTCACTCCAGATGCTAAGAGGTCAAAGAGATGAGGAAGAACCAGCAAAGACAGACAGTGGCCAGTAAGGTTAAGAAAACCAGCCGTGTGTGGTGTCTTGGAAACCAAGTCAGGTTTAAGGGAAGGAGTAATCAGCTGTGTCATACACCGCAAAAAGGTCAAGTACTGTGAGCTGTAACAATTGTAGCAGTCAGTGTTGAGGTCCCTGGGACTTTGACAAGTGCTGTTTCATTGGAGGGCAGTTGCAAATCTGGAATGTGTTTGAGAAAGAATGGGGTGTCCTCATAATAAGAAAAAGGCTGAGCAAATTGATAAACAGCTTTTTTTACATCTTTCAGAGAATTGAGGTCACAGGGCAAATCTTCACTGCAAAAATAAGCAGGAAAATAGATGGGCTCACCTAAGGCAGAAGCTGCTGGAGCCAGTAATTGAGATCTAAACAAATGGCTGTGAGCTAAGTATGGACTAACTAGCTTGAGAATTCAAAACCAGGAGCTAGTCTAAGGGGACCCCACACTTTGGTGGGTTTTACCTCAAGGAGACCCACTGGGTTCTTCTGTAAAGATGGCAGAAAAATTCCCTTGTGCTTTGGACACAGGAAGGGGAAAGTAACCATTTTGAAATACATCCAGGAAGAAAGTAGCCCCAGAGCTTCTGTTCTCCATGGCAGAGAACGGTTTTCTCAGGGAAAACTACTTGCAGGGGCCTTCTCTAGCCTAGGAGAAAGGCAGATGGATGTCTCAACCTGCCTCTAGCCTTCCTGTCTCACATAAGAGGAAAAAACAAGGTTCCACTAAAAAAAGACAGATGTAATCATAAGAGTATGCAGTGCTTCTCCTCACCAATACGATACCTTCAGTAGGGCTCCAGGATAACAGTGGATTCCAACAGAGAAAGCTGCAAGGCACAGACTCTATTTTAATAAGGAATTTCTAGGGAAACCCAAAGACAACAGGGAAGACAAGGACACTGAGGAAAATCAGAGTCTCTAGCACCCACAGCAAACATTAGACGCAGCCTGTTAGCCAGATAAACACACAACTTACATTAAAGGCCTATTTACCTCAGTTCTTGTTACCTAATACATCATGTCTGGCTTTAGTAAAAAAGTACAAAACATGCTAAAAGGGAAAAAGAGACAAAGCAAGCATCAGAGCCAGACTCAGATATGGTAGAGATTTGGGAGTTATCAGACTAGGAATTTAAAATAACTGATTAATGTGCCAGGTCTCTAATAGAAAAAGTGAAAAACATAGCAGAATAGTCAGGTAATACAAGCAAGAGATGGAAACTTAGAATCCAAAAGAAATGCTAGAAATAAAACATTGAAACGGAGATGAATACTTTTGATGGGCTCATAAGACTGAACGCTGCCACAGAGAATCAGTGAGCTTGAAGATACGTCAATAGAAAGTGCCCACATTGAAACTGAAAATTTTCAAAAAGGAATGGAAAGTATTTTGAAAACAATATCCAAGAACTGTTGGATAATTTTTTAAAGTGTAGGTTGGATGCAGTGCTTGCACCTGGAATCCCAGCACTTTGGGAGGCTGAGGCAGGCGATTGCTTGAGGCCAGGAGTTTGAGACCAGCCTGGGCAACATGGCGAAACCCAGTCTCTACAAAACACACACACACACACACACACACACACACACACACACACACACACACGCCAGGCATGGTGGCACACACCTGTAATCCCAGCTACTGAGGAGGCTGAGGTGGGAGGATCGCTTGAGCCTGGGAGGCAGAGGTTGCAGTGAGCCGAGATGATGCCACTGCACTCCAGCCTGGGCAACAGAGTGAGAGCTTGTCTCAAAAGAAAAGGAAAGGAAAGAAGGAAAGAAGGGAAAGAAGAAAGAAAAGCATAGCTCTGCATAATAAGAATATGGTACTTCCCCCTTACCCACAGTTTCACTTTCTATGGTCAACTGTAGTCCAAAAATAGGTAAGTGCAATACAATAAAATTTTGAGAGAGGGAGAGAGACAACACTCACATAACTTATTACAGTGGTATTCTTATAATTCTGTTTCATTTCTGTTAATCTCTTACTGTGCCTAGTTTATAGATTAAACTTTAGCATAGTCACATGCATATAGAAAAAAACTGTATCAGGTTCAGTACTGTTCACATTTCAGATTCACTGGGGATTCTGGAGCATATACCTTGTGGATGAAGGGGGACTACCATACCAGAAGGAGAAGAGAGAATAGAAGAGGGAGAGATTAAAGTTAGAGCATGGGTAACTCCAGAAACTGCCCTAAAGGAGATCAGAGAAATGAGGATATAGCTGAGAGGGCAAATGAGGTAGAGTTTTGTTTTTAAATCTTGTCTTGAATGCTGTAGGAGTGGTCCAGGAGAGGACAATTAGATGCTGTAGGTGAGAGATGGAGTGTTGTCAGAGCAACATCTTCAAGGAGGCAAAAGAGGACGGGATCTTCTGTGCAAGCAGAGGGCTCAGCCAAGGAGCAGGTAACAGGAAGACAGCAGAGTATGAGAGCAGGGCTGGCCTGTGGGTGTGTGATGGTGGGAACTCATGGACATTCTTTTCTGATTGCTTTTGTTTTCGAGGTCATCGGTTGAGAGGAAAACTGGGGTAGAGGGGTTAGAGGTTTGGGACCTTACAAATTAGTCTTTGAGGAGACTAAAGGGACTAGTATGATTGTTAATGTAGCATGACTGCCAGCTGGTGGTAACGGCTCCCCTGGGGTCCAAATTACTATGTTCTGTTTTGCCTGCCCATTACTGCATAACTCAAAATCCTTTCACATTGTATCTTACTGGAAATGGATGTGTTTCACTAGCATCTCATCACAGTAAGGATTTTGGTTCCCAGGAAAGAAGCATCAAATTTGCCAAGTTAGATCTCCTCAGTAGGCCATTTGGCTCATCCATTATATAATATGCTATGATTTCCCCTGGTGGTTGTGTACAATCACTACTCGGGGACAACTACCAGGCTTATGGTTCAACAAATACCAGTGCCTTCTAGATCCCAAGGCACTGCTATAGGAGCAGAATAGAGCAGTATTTAACACCTACCTTCATGGAGCTTATATTTAGGGGGAAACAAAATACATGTCTGGTGGTAAAAGGTTCTGAGAAAACAGCACACGGCAAGGATACAAACTTGGGGGTTGCAGCTTTATATTGGAGGGTCAGGGAAGAGTTATCTGATAAATGACATTAGAGGCAAGCCCTGAAGGACGGAAAGAGTGGAAGAGTAGGCCGTCGGGGGAATGGTGGGCCAGGCTCTTGTGTTCACCTCTACTTTATAAACAGACTAATGGAGGAAGGCAGCACCCACTGATGTCAACACTGCCACTTTTTTACTAAATATAATAAAACTTTAAACACATTCTGTCCACTCTTCCTGAAATACAACTCTGTGTGCACTTAATGTTACCTTTTCCCTTTCTTATCAAACTTGCTGTTTTACAAATTCAACTTGATCCAGTCAGCTGTATTTAATATTTCCTTTTTGATCAAATTGTGAAAATGGTCAGTGGGAACCCATTTAACTGGCTGTTTTGTCCTCTCAAAACTGCCTCATTTTTGAGGCACAAACTGACATTTTTGTTTTGTTTTATTTCATCCCCAGACTTACTGGGACAAGCCCCAGATATTTTTTTTTTTTTTAGACAAAGTCTTGCTCTGTAGCCCAGGCTGGAGTGCAGTGGCATGATCGCAGCTCACTGCAACCTCCACCTCCCAGGTTCAAGCGATTCTCCTGCCTCAGCCTCGCAAGTAGCTGGGATTACAGGCACATGCCACTGCATCCAGCTAATTTTTTGTATTTTTAGTAGAGATGGCATTTCACCATCTTGGCTAGGCTGGTCTTGAACTCCTGACCTCAGGTGATGTGCCTGCCTCGGCCTCCCAAAGTGTTAGGATTACAGGTATGAGCCGCTGTGC